GTATTTTAATTGTGAGAATGATTTTCATTGTTTTTTGAGTTTAGAAACACCATTTTCTGTGCTCGTCTAACCTCCAATATCTACACTTGTTACAAGCATGTGAATCTGTACGTGACTAGCAATCCAAGACTTACTTTTTACGTTTCTACTTGCTATCTGTTGATCTTCTTTTAAAAATATGCCTGTTTCAGTAACACAGCTGATATAATTGAAACTTAATTGCAAGTAAAAACAATAAAATATACTTTACCATTTTCTACTTTGTCTTTGATCTCTTTTTAATTTTTTCTTCCCTTTTCCCTATTTGTATTCATTTTGATGCCCATCAATTTGTTTCTCTATTCCTGTTATTTTTGCAATTTTCTGGTTCCTTTATAAGGCTTGCACTATTCTCTTTGATCTGCTTCCCTTCAAGCTTTACTTTTGGTGCTGTTTTTCATGTCCTATAAAAAAATATTTTTTGCCCCTCTTTCCTTTATTCTTTTGATTTAATTCCTTCTTCTTAGAACAAGAACAAACTCCAGCTTTGAGCGAACAGGTAAATGTTTTTAAAAGAGTAAGCCCTAAGAATCCTTGGTTTCGCACTGATGAATGGAAATGGTTGAGTGCCTACTTCAAAGGCCCTTAAGAACAAAGAACCTTTCTGAGGCCACTAAATTCACTAGTTCTTTCTGACCCATCTCTGCTGAAAGATGTGAGCTAATGACAGGGTGGCCCTGTCTTCTAAGAGAAGCCAAGTAGGCTTGGGAACAAACGTATCCTTGACATAATCGGGGGAAAAACATACTGTTTATCTCTTTAATAACCATCTTGAGGAAAATTAATGTTACTTTGTCCTTTGTGCAGAACAGTAATTGGATTGTGTGTTTCATTTATATCTGGACAAAGGCCAGGATATTGAAATACTTCTCAATATTAGATTTTCTTGTTTAAAAATTAGATTTTATTGGCATTCTCTTTCTGAGATTTCTTCATTAAAAGCTTCATTAAACATAAATCTTTTACACGGCACAAAACAAAATTATTTTAAGGAGGTCATTTAAAAAGTCTTTCGGAAAGGCTAAATTCTTTACTGCCAACTTGGCTCTTCCCAGGGATCTGGCATTCCAGGGATAAAATGATCACCGATCTTTGCCTGCATGCATCTAATACTAATGACATTGAGAGTTGGAACTATGCAACAGGTTCGAGGGTTCTGGAGTCTGAGGTTATTACAAATACACTGTTTTTAAAATTTGGGGCTCAGAAGTATGCTGTAGAGGCTTGATTCAGTGACATCGAGGCCTTGGTGTTCAGGGGAATGCTGTACTGCTCTGGAGGAGATGAAGTCATCCATCAGGAAGACAAGAGTTTACATAGCCACTGTGCTGAGCAACTCAAGTGGGCTTTGAGTATTTATATATTAAACTTTGATAATGGCTTCTGGAAAGAAATGGACACACTCCTCACAAGGGCAGCAAGGAAAGTGAGGGCTATGTAGTTTCCCACCTTCAAACTGTTCTCTATTCCTTAATCCCTGCAAAATCAGGGAGGCATTTTGCTGCTCACTGCTCAGCACACTGTGCAACAGCATTTAGGGGGCAGAGTTTGTGCAAAATTGAGCCCCACTCTCGGTCTCCTGAAGCAGCGTGTCTGGCTCCTGGCTTTCTGAGAGAAGGGAGATAATGAAGAGATTTGGTTTGAAAGGCCTTCCCCACTGTGCTGCAAACTTCATGCGTAACAGAAATAAACAAATACAATGTGAGGTGCAGGGAGGGTCAGTTGTAATGAAGAGTGGTTCTATGTATAAGAACTTAAAACCAAGATATATGCATCGGTGTCAAAAGCCTGCGAAGTGGGAACATTCATCCTGTGACAATAATATTCATTCCATGCAAACTGACTAAAACATCTCTCAGGTGAGTAGATTTGTTTTTTCAAAAAGGAGGAAATAGCAACAAAAAAAGCTTTGTTGTGGTTAAAACATATGAACTTGTACATTTTGTTAGTTTTCTACCTATAATCTTTTTATACCTATAATCTATAGTTTTCTACCTATAATCTTTTTAAGTGCCTGAAGGGTGTGAGATGAGGGGTGGTGACTTTCAGGGCTCTGACGAGGCTGGGCGTCTAGCAGCCGGGACTGGGTGCCAAGTAGGGGGCGCAGAGGGCCGGAGTCAGAGGCTCCAGTGGCTGCAATGGGTTCAAAGCACCTGATTTGGCCAGAGGAACTGGATTCTTGGCCACGTATTAGAAAGAGTCAAGGCAAGAGGCAAAACGGAGCCAGTGGGTGTCAGGAGCGGTGACTGCTGAGTCCCCAGACTACGTGGCGTGGGGCTTGGCCAGCTCTTCAAGGGCACCTGAGGCTGAGCTTGGGACAGGGAAACAGTTGGACACTGGCCCCCTCTCTCCCTCCCTCCCTTAATGCTGCAGACAAAGGTTAAACTCTCCTTGGCCTTTCTTGTTGGAAATCATTTACTCTCGGGATGAGTCAAGGTCAGAAGTAAGTTCCCAAGAGCCTGCTTCCAACCCTCTGCCCGGGGCTGATGCAGGCATGATGCGCCCAGAAGTCCAGAGCCACCGCTGGGAACACTCTTGTTCTGGGCCTGGAGTTTCTCAGGCAGGTGCCAGGCCCAGAGCAGAAAGAAGGTTGATTGGGCATCTCCCAGAGAGTGGGGCAGTGTGAGTCGGAGTGACACACACTCACTTGGAGTGAGCCCCGGGAACTGGACGGATCATCGATCTTGGGTGGCTAACTGGTTGCCCCTTCCACACCTCCCTCCTCACCTAACTTCCTGCATATAGCTGGTCTGGGGATGTCTAACAAATTCAGTGACAGTAAAAGAGAAAATGTAGTAGTATGGCATAAAGAGAGTATATAAGAAAAACATAAGAAAAAAGCGGCCAACAGGCCCAAATATGACTGATATTCACAGAGAAGTATTCCGTGCAGCAGAAAAAATACAGGCAAACCACAAAAGGGTTAGTGAAGCCACAACCTCAGTGAAGGAGGGCACAAACAGAGCATCAGAGCCGGAAGGGAAGGGGCGAGGCGAGACCCCGGGGCTGGTGCCACCCAGGGAACTCATCAGAAATAGCCTAGTGGATTTACTTTATGTGTACTGGTTCACTACTGATAAACCAGATAGGAGAAAGGTCAGTGTACAGAAGACCTAAGTGATTTGATTAATAAGCTAAGAGGAATATCTCTTACACTCTATAACCAGCAAAGAAACAATATAGTTCCCTATCCTCTAAATACTGTGGTTCTTGGAACCCCTATCAGCCTAGGCTGCTCCTTCGGTGATCTCATCACCCAGTTTCAGGGCTCCAGACACACTTTACATGCTGACACCTCCCAAGTGTGCACCTCCAGGCTGAACTTCTCCCCGGAACTCCTGACTCGTATTCATCAACCTACTTGACATGTCCACATGGATGTGTAACTGGCATCCTGAGCTAGACATGTTAAAAACCCTGAACTTCCGGTAGCCCATGCTGCCCGTCTGGTAGTGATAATGCCACTCAACTTGGGCCATGCCTGCCTCTCACTCAATCTACCAGCTCTACCTTTAAAAAATATCCAGAATCCAAGTGTTTTTCAGTGCTGCTCCTGATCCAAGCTACCACCACTGCTTACCTTCTCACTGGCCTCTCCACTTCTGCCCTAGGCCCTTTATAATTTAATATTAATAAAGCCAGACATGATCCCATTAAGCATAATGCAGATCGTGTCACTCTTCTGCTAAAACTTTAAGTGGCTTTTACTCTCAGAATAAAATCTAGCTTCTTGTAATGATCTATAACTGCCCCCACTTACCTTTTCCTAAATGCTTTCTCCTGCTACTCTTATTACCTGCTCTGTTTCAACCTCACTGGCTTCCTGGATGATGCCAGGGACAGTGTCTCCTGCCTCAGGGCCTTGGCACATGCTGCCCTTACGCTCTTTCCCAGTTGTCCAAATGGTACACTTCCTTGCTTCCTTCAGATCTTTCCTCACTATGGAAACTATTCTTTAAACAAGCACAATATTAACATATACTGACTTTCAAGAGTCATAGATGACAGGGGTTCAAAACAAAGACTAGTTCAGGGGGCATATAATAACAATGATATGTGTTTGCATAAGTGATTTGTAATTTACGTTCTTCAACATACTATGTATTTTTTAAATAATGAAAACCATACTGTGACTTCACAGTATCGACCATGTTTTACAATTGTCCCCCAAAGCTCAAACAAACTGCCTTGTCCAAGGTCACACGCCAAAAACCTCTAGATAGCCTTTACTCCTGTCTTGGGCCCCAGAGCAAATGCTCCTCCTCCTCTATATTAAAGTTTATTATGTAATGATACTAATTATAGTAAAAATTAAAACAACAATAATAATGCTAGAAGTTTATGTTTATTGAATTTAAAGCACTCTTTTAGGCACATTACATGTATTCATGCATTTAATCCTCGCAGGAGCAGAGGAGGTAAGCACTATGACTATTTGGAGATAGCAGAGCAGGAGACTGTCAGTGGCAGGAAAAAGACCCTGTCTCTGATCAGCTTGCGGTAATGGCACCGACAGTGTTTACACCCAGGCACTTAGACTCCAGATCCTGCATCTTTAACCACGATACTAAATCCTTGCTTGGTCTTAAGACACTTTTTTCTACTGTGCTAGACACAGTAGGTACAGTTTCTATTTAGACACAGTGCATTCTCCATTTGGGTAATTAGAACTGTGTTTACCAAAGATTTCTTACAGACATAGGTAGTTTAAGAAATACATCTTTGAGTTTAAGTGTGAAAAATTTCAACACAATTGCTAATTGTCAGATATCGTAAGCCAGAGTAGAGGTCTGTGATTCCTACAGTATCCCATGACCACCTTTTTGATGTTTTTTAACCTCTAAACAAGATGCTCACCACTGCAGATTAACCAACTCGTGCCCAAGTGCTTTCTGTTTCAGCAGCAACTTGTATTTCTCTGGGAAGGCTCCCAGCATGCAGAGGGAAAAAGAGCACCTTACCTGGGGTGACGATAGGCTATCTCCCGGAACTCGTGATCCCAGTTAGGTCTTCCATAGAACGTTTTCTGCTTTAACCCCGTAATCACATCAGTATCATCATTCCAGTGTAAAGCTATGTGAATGGCCTAGGATAAAAATTGGAGTATCAGATGACACTTAGAAAAAACATAGCAACCTGTTACTAAATAAAGAATGAAGTAAAGTATGCTTATTTGTTGATATACTACTCAAAAAATTTCTTTATAGGGTTGGAATTATTATATATTATTATTAGCAGATATCACTGATTTGCATTTCTAGGTAAGCATCATGTTTCATTTATCTTTATATTCCACCTTGGGCATTACTGAAACAAAATGTAGTAGATACACAATAAAAGGAGGCTGGGAAGGTTTTTCTCCAAAAGGATGAGGGTGGTCTAGTAAATGTGGTTAAGGGAAAGAAAGCACTAAGGTACTTCCTTTTTTTCTGCCAAAATTCTCAAAACTAATCTCTACCTCTACCTCCATTCACTTTAACTAAACCTTGGGCATTTGAGAAGGTCACAGCAGACTAAAGTGAGAGATGTCCAGGAAGCAGCTGGATGTTACTGGGTTGTCAGATCTGTTGTCAGATCTGCCTACTGGGTTGAGGCAGTTTGAAGTGAATTGTCAGGTTCAAGTGTTGGGAAGATGCTAGTCTGGCAGACAGGACATGGTGGTCAAACATAGCAAGGGGCACGGTTGGAGTTCTGTGCCAACCATTTGCCTTCAAATTTCACAAATGCGCCCAGGCATCAGGAAACCAGGGGTTGACAAATGAGAGGCTGGGCATAGCAATGCCCAATGGTGATTTTTAAATTTGGTGAATCCTGGTAGCTACTTTGCTTCTTTCCTTCTGGGATTTGTGTCCCCTGTTCTCATCGTTGATGCCCCTCCACAGCTCCTGGGTGCCCATGGTTTATACTTTGGTGCTCTGACTCTTTCCGCTCCTGAATCCTGTCAGGCCCAGGTCTGACCCCAATTTCCTTCTGCATGCCTGACGTCCCCAGGCCTTCTTAGCAGTCTAGCAAAGCAGCCAGGAATAGTGAGGTTGAATAGAAAATAATGGAAGCACCCCTGTATGCCAGTAGATGATGGCAGGCAGTGGAGGAATGGTGGGAATCTAGGGGATTGAGCTTGGCAGAAGCCCTGTTATCAGAACTGGGGCTCAAGGTCAGAGTTGTAGCATCGTATCCCCACCACCCTTCTGATCAGCAGGACTGACTGGTGCCTATAGTGACTGGTTTTAGCTGTGGGCAAAGAAGATGGCAGAGACAATTTACTTTTGACTAAGTGCCCAATCTAATGACCAGTTCAGCTGCTCCGCCACATGGCTGGACATTGCTTCTCCTTGATTCTGGCTTTTCTTTTGATTCAAGGAAGAAACATTAGATTTTGTTTTCCTATCATATTCCCCTGTCTCAAAGTACAGCTGCTTTCCCAGCCTCCAGTCGGTCTCTACTCTCGACACCTCTCTTGGCCACAACTTCCCGAAAAGCTTCCATTCTTATGGTCCCAATTAGCATAATCTAAAGGGTGAATCCACTCTCCCCAAAACCCTCACCTTCCTGCCTGAGGAGAGTCCTGCATCTCCAACTCCCCAGACAGAATTCTCTCTGTTTTTATAAACTGATCATCATCGCTAAAACTGAAATTTCCCAAATAATCTGTGACTCCAGTTCACTTCCACACACAATAGTCGAGTGATCCCTACTGGCAGGCAGTGTCCTACACATGGAGTGGTGCAAAGAAGGAAGATAGATGGTCTCTGTTGTGAGGAACAGGCCAGGGAAGGGAGGGGCAGCCCATGCGTACAGCTGCTATGATACAAGCCTGACCACAGTTCTTCACTAGAGACAGAAACCAAGTGCTCTTCAGAAGCAAACAAATGGCTCTGGGGAAGCCCCATGTAATTTGACTGAGAGGCTGGGGAAGGCCTTAGGAGCACTGGGCTTTAAAGGATGAACCACGCAGTAGGCAGTAGGAAGGGGCAGAGGTCGCTGAGTGTCAGGGAGAGGGAACAGTGTGAGGGAGGGCATGGAAGCATGAAAGTGTCAAGCACAAAAGGACAACACACATTCATTTGGTGGCCCCAGTGCCAGAGGAAAATCATGAGAGGTTAGAAAGGTGGGCGGCCATCAGGTCACGAAGGGCTTCAAAATACCTGTTAAGATGTTTGGGCATTTTTAACAGAAAAAAGGGCCTTTCCTGCTTGTGTTAATGGTGCCATCAAGCTACCAATCACTGATGTTCAAACATTTGGAAGTATGTGGAAATATGTTTGTTCCATATTTCTTAGGCTAGTGTTCAACTAATCTCTAAACCCAGTTGATTTGCCCTTTGTAATACCTTTCCCATCTGTCCCTTCTGTTCTTGTCATTCTGCCACTTTGAGGTTGTTGAATTCAGTTTAATGACTGACTATTTCTAAAAGAGCCTCTTGATTCCTTACTGACAGAATGCACCAATTATTTTTTCGAGTTTGAGCATCTAAAGAATTTCCAACATGTCATGGCAAAGATTTAAGAACATGTCTATTTTCATTTACTTGTATTCAGAAAAAAAGTATGCTTCATACTTTTGGAAGTGGCAGAGACAGGATGGGACAGGGTTGTGTTATAAAATTAAACAGAGCCTTAGTCTAAAACTCCCAAGAGACTGGGAATTCCTAGGTGGATACTCAGGATCAATTTGGTTTAGAAGCAGAAAAGCAAGCACAGTACAAAAAACAAAAGACAAAAGCTGTGTCTGTACTTCATCAAATGGATCATTACTCAAAAATCCCATTTGAATAGGGAAAATGCTTGTTTGGAAAATATAATTAATGCTATTTAATTCATTAAGATGTTTCAAGCCCCATTCCCAAGAAATGTATATTTTAAATTATCCCAGAGGAATAAATATTTAAGGTCGACTGCAAATAAGAACCTAAAAATTCATTTAGCTATCGAATTTCAAGATATTCTTACTCATTTGTACGGGCACAGAGTCAAATCTCAGTGATGTCCTATGGGCCAATATCGTGTGTTAATTTAGTGATAAATGCAAATCCCTTTTGATTCAAACACACTTTCCTTAAAGTAAATATCAATAGGAACTGCTACAGAAATGTTGATTAGAACATATACTTAACCTAGTCATCACCTCATTATTAGCATCCAAATATGAGGAACTAAAAAAGATTTAAAATTTAATACTTGTCATTCAATACTATCAGTACCAATACACTAACAAAATGAAGTATTTTAATATACATTAATTTTGGCAAACTCAACCTTAGTATTTCATTAATACAGTGCACTGCAGAAAACCTGCCACAACATATCATCTTGATCTTAGGTAAATAAACATACATGTATACACATTCTAAGAATGCCTTAAGAAAAGGAAATCTCTAGCTAAATCATATATTCATAATGATTATTTTCTGTAGGAACTCATATACTTAGCAATACAACTTGTTGAATGCAAACATGAGAATTTTTTTCTGTTTAACTCTGAACATCTCAAAGCATAGAATTAGAACCAATTAGGAGCTAACAGACAATCAATAATATTTGTTTGATGTTGCTGAAATGTCAAATGCAACTTTTCGTGACATAACTTGGGACTGTCTTCTGTTAACCAACCTCTTTTCCAATCTTAGTTTCTATTCCTCAGCAAGTTAACTGTAGGTTCTTCTATTGCTACAATTTGAGTATCTCTTTCTAAACTGGTTTTATTTTATTCTCCTTTCCTTTTAAGAACATAAAAATAATTCATGCTACCAGAGGACTATATAGCTCATTATTGAAATTGTTCTCTTCTCTTTGCTCTATTATTAAATGACTTAGATAATATTTATCATCCTCAGAGTCTTATCAATACCTGGTTCTCATCCCAGCCAGTAAGAAATATATGATAACTCAGAAAGTGAGTTCTCCCTCGCTCACTCAGGCGTGTTTCCAATGAGAGTAAGAGATCAGCAAACCACTCAAAGGCCCTCGGATCCCGGCAAATCCAGTAGAAATACACCTGTCAAGAGAGAAGACTAGAGAACAGATCTGTCCCTCTTTCCATAATGTGCTGATAATCACAGTCTACTTTATCTCCATTAAATTATTTGAGCCCAAATGGGCACTTCTACAAAATGACATGCTTCTCTCTGCCAGTGAACAAACAGTCGCTCTGTGATTTCTTTTGAAAAAAAATTCACATTGTGTTTGAAAAAAGCCCAGAGTAATATCAGAGTCAGGAGCCTGTGGGCTGCTGCCAGTTTCTCTGGATGAGGATCAATTCACCACCTTCCTGGCTGTGCTTCCTCTGAATGAGGTTAATAATCATAACTAGCTGTGCTTTTCTTTGCTCCCAAAGGGGGATAAACTGTTAGACCAACCCCCTTCATCTTTACTTATGACCTAAGCTTGGGATTTGAACTCTCTTCTCCAGAGACCTCAAAGGCTTGTGTGCTAATCCACTTCACCAGCAGGACCTCTGGAGGGTGGAGATTATGGTAATTGCAGAATCAAACCTCATTGTCTTGCCAGAAGTTTCCCCTCAACCTGACAGCAGTGTCCAAGAAAGCCAGTGGCTGGTGGTTGTGTGTGTCAGCGGCCACAGTGAAATTATTTCTACGAATGTTTTTCTTTTTAAAGTCTTTGTGTTTAGCAAAAGGCATGTGACAAAAATTAGTTTGGGTTTGTTGAAATAAAGGCTGAATTTTTGTGCTTGAGTTTCAGATAATTGTATCTAGAAGAAACCACAAGAGACAGATCTATTAATTCTCCCTATTTTTCTCACACTCCTACCTGCTTCTGCCCTGCACAGGTTCCTGCATCCCTTCTCCAGAGAGACATCTCTACTGCTTAACAAGACCTCGCAGGGGCTGGGCTTGATCGATACCAGGAAAGATCTCCTCCATGTCAGTGTTCTCTTTCCTCCCCTCTCCCCAAGCAGCTTGCAAGCTCACAATCATATAATGAGAGTTATAGATGAGATTTAATTAGCAGATCAAATTCATGAGGAGAAAAAAAAATCACAGAATGTATTTAAAGGCTAAACATCTTGCCTATTCTCTCCACGTTTGCACAGGAATTTATAATATTAACAACCAGGAAGAGCAAAAGCTAGTGAGGATAAAACCTTTGTTGATAAGAATTAGAGCCTATATATTTGTTGGACAGCTGTTGCTCCCGGGGCACTTTGACTATTTATGAATCCCAGGCAAACGATAATCCCTGGGTGTTAACCGTCCAAAAGGAATGCTTGTCTCTTTTCTCTGTCGTGAAAGGAGCCAGTGGTTGCTTCTGATGAGTGCCCCATGAACCCCCAGAAGCTTGGTGATCATGTTCATCTGCTTGTTTGTTGACCTGAGAAATATGTATTAAATGTTTACTCTGCGTCAAGACAGTTCTCAGCTCTGGAACTCTCACAGCAAACACAGAGACAGAAATTCAAGGTCCTTATAAGTTTGCATTTTAGAGAGAGATGAAAGATTATATGTTAAGTAAAATATAGAATATGTCAGAGGGTGGTAAGTACCACAGAGAAACAGGAGGCAGGCTGGGAAGTGCTGCAATGCCAAGTCACATGGTCAAGGAAAGGGGACATGTGAGCGAAGACATGGAGGAGGCGAGGGGGGTGGAATGAGCCAGGAGGAGCCCTCCAGGTGGAGGGGACCAGGAGGGAAGAGGCTCTGATGGGAAGTCCCAGGGAAGAGTCAGGGCACGGTGTGGCTGGAGCTCGGTCAAGGAGGGGACAACAGCAGGAGGGGAGGTCCCAGGGGAAGGCTTGGGGTGGTGGCAGAAAAGGGCTTCAGGGCCATGGCTGACCTTTGCTTTGAGTGAGCTGGAGTCACTGCAGGTGTGGAGCAGGGGAGCGGCAAGATCTGAAGAAGGATCACTGGGAAGGAAGGCTACTCCCTGCAAGGGCAGAGAGCGGAGGACAGGACTTTGTGCTTGTATGCCCTATTGGTGGTAATTGCTGCCGCTTCTTCCCTTCCACTTTGTGTAGCACCCAGTCTAAATGATTCTTTGAAAACCCTGGTCCTCCCTTTACCTTGCTTTGCCTCCCCTGGAAATAGAAAACTTACCTGCAGAATTCAACTACTCTCCCCTAGGCTCCTCCCCTCCTTCCTGCCCTCGGGAGGTTATCTTACCTAAGAACATTAATAGTGGCATTTGCTATAGAACAAACATCCCTGGTTTATTTTCCATTATTTCCACTCTTTAAGGAACATGCTTAAAACCCAGTTATATAGGAACAATAAAGGAAAACATTTGCTTTTCTGAGATCTTGTCAATTTTAAAACCAGTCCCAATCATCCTTACTTGAAAAATGCCCACACCTTAGCTTCCTGCACACACTGACCCTTATCCTTTCAAATAGAAATCATTCCCGTCCTCACTTTCTTGTGGCTTAGCTGTGTGCCAGTGTTCTTAGGGTTCACCAAGCCTTTTATACATTTTGCTTCCCTTTTATAGCTCTGTGAGTTTTTCCCTCTGTAATTGACTCATAGGTGACACGGGACAGCTTTGGTGCGAGAGGCAATGGAGGGAAACTGAATAGGCTCAGAAGCGCTTCAGTCAGAAAAAGAAAAAAAGAGACTTTGAACAGAGGAAAAGGCTATTTACTTTGACACTCTTTCATCTTTCTAATGGTAAGGGACACTCACTGTGAAGGGACAGAAGAGTTCCACTTCAGCATTTCGTCCAGGAGAGGACCTGGTCAATGGCAGAACAAATATCCCTGACAATAGCTACACCTGTGTGATCTGGGCTTCCCCACACTCACTGCTCCGTAGGCTCCAAAAATAAAACAACCCTAAGATCAGTTACCTGTATAAAGTATGGCTTTCAAAATTCTGTAGCTGAAATACTTAAGGTATTTCAGGCCCAAATACTTAAGGTTACTTTAAAAAGTTCTGTCAAACAAAAAGTCAGCATCAGTAAAATGATGAGAGTTCTGGACTTTCATCTTATTAGTTACTTCTTTTCCTGGAGTCATCTACCCATTCTTGCAGATGTAGTAGATTCCCAGATGTTTAAGGAGACCACTCCAGGTCTGCAGAATGGGGTTAGGGAATTCTGGGCCCATGTGTGGCCTGTGCATCATTTTATCTGAACCATTTGTTTTTGCTGTTGCATCATTTTATCTGAACCACCAGACCAAACAGGCATATCTGGTCTTGGAGGGCAGGATCTGGGCCACGCTCAGGGTGCTGTGTTCTCTGTAAGTTCCCTCACATCCCCAAGGACAACCCCTTGCCCCTGCCACCCTCCACGTGGCCTGGACTTCTTTTTAGGAATTCTGCAGTATTGCATGTGGACCAGGTCAAGGTGATCTGGAGCCAGGGGAAAATGGACCTGTGCTACTTTTCTAATTCCAGAAAATGAAATAAGAAAAGCTACTCATCTATTTGACTCTTGTAAGAGGCCCTTATCTCATAGCCTGGTCAGGCACCCAGGGTTCTAGGGCTAATGTGCCCTGGACCGACCCTCTACCCAGGAGGCCGGTGGGGCTGCACTGTGACCTTGCCTCCTCCTGTGCAACACTCCATGTTCCCCACTGTTACGGATGCAATGTTTGCATCTCCCCAAATTCATATGTTAAAACCCAATGTGATGGTATTAGGAGGTGTGGCCTTGAGCGGTGGTTAGATTTAGATGAGGTCCTGAGGTGGGGCCCCCATGATGGGATTAGTGCCCTTATAAGAAGAGAAAGAGACCAGCGCTCTCTCTGCCATGTGAGGACACAGCAAGAAGGGGCCATCTGCACACCAGGAAGAGCTACCATGCTGGCACCCTGACCTCAGACTTCCAGCCTCCAGAACTGTGAAACACAAATGTTATTGTTTAAGCCCCCTAACCTTGGGTGCTTCTGTTACCTGACGAAGTCACCCATGGTGTATGAAATAATAACAGAATGAACAGAAGCTCCAAACTGGCAGAGCAATGGAGACTTTCCATTGAGGGAATCGTGACGGTTTTCCAAAAAGAAGACTTTTTTCTCAGAAAAGATAAAGACTGTGAAAGATACTTTTTTATGAGTTATTGCTGTCAAGGTCGTCCCGGATGAATATAACAGCACACAAAATCTCAATCAACAATCTTCATATTGATAAGCTACCTTATTGTGGCTTCTACAATCCAGGGTTTAAGAAATATAATTATAAAATTGTTTTTCTGGTTAACCATTATAAGATTGAGACCAGGTTGTGTCAATCATCTTTAGTCCTTAAGACATTCTTAAAACCATTATTTTTCATGTCATTTCATGGATCTACTGCTGTTTTGTCCTGGGACTGAAGTTTGACCTCATTTGTGCCTCTGTGTGTCATACTATAGTTAATAATACTTGTTGGACAACCAAAATGTCCATTAGTACTAGGTGATTACATACATTGTAAGATATGCATACTACTCTGAATACTCTGAAGGCAGAAATGAAATGAAATCCATCAAGAGGAATTGACATGGAAGGTGCTCCAAGCCATGTTATCATGGAAAACAAAAACAAAACAAAGTACGTGTCCCCTGCTATCCCTATTTACGTAAAAATGCAGTAACACCCTGCATGTATGTGTAGGTGAGTATAAATAGGCAAATGTATGGAAAAGAAATGGAATAAATGCACATAGCAGATTACTGGAGAGCCAAGATAGCAAATTGGTGGTGGTAGTTTGGAGAGGGAGGCTCCTGAAGGGAGATTTTTGGACGGTTTGAGTCTTTTTGACTCTTATGAGAACACTATAGTCTTGTATGCCTTGTGTGGTTAATAAACCAAGATATTAAAAATACTAATACTGGCCACCTTCCCACTGGCAATAGGGAGGCCTGGTGAGGGGCCACAGCCTTTTGAGGCTGTCTGGTGTACCAAGAGAAGCACACGTGTCTTCTGGACAGGCAAACGTGACCTTGTGCTTCCCAGTTCAATTTATTACAACCCTCTCAGTGGGTAGTAGAGATGGTCAATCAATTCCAGGAGTAGTCAGGGCTCCAGTGTGAGGGAAAGTGAAAGTAAATAATTTCTCAAAC